GGTGATGTGAGAGCCTGGTCCGGTGAGAACCCGGCGTGCTCCGTCCCGGCTTTGTAGGGATGCGAGGTCAATGGTCTAACGACTACGGCATGCACGACTATGAGTACACCCCCCCCCCTTGTCGGAGCCTCAGCCCAAAGGCCCTCCCCTCTGGTGGCAGGAAATGATACCGATACGATACATAGGACAGGAGAACATTTTTGAGCCACCTTTGGCATAGTGAGGAGGAACGATTGGTCATCGGTAAATTGGAACAATGCTCCGTCCTCTCGCCAACGCGTGGCCAATGGCCTATCAACTAAGGCATGCAAAACACAAGAGTATGCCCCCCCCCCCCTCTTGGTTCCGCCCCAGCAGGGCAATGCTTCGCGGTGCATTTTTGTTTTGTCTTCCACGCAGCAGTTAGACCACGAGGGTAGAGGTCGAATTTCACGTAAATATAGTGTATGTCCGTGGTCGTTTTTTGCCTCTGAGCACATATTTTCGAACCCAATTCAACCAATCGCCGGCTAGTAGAACCGGCGGTGAACGCCATCCTATCTCCAAAGCACCGCTCGTCTTGTCAACAACGACACGAAGGTAAAATGAACCAAGCGCTGTGCGCACAGCACACACGACCCACCGGGCCACCAGCAAAGGATTGTACATAAGTCCGGAAAAGTAGTCAACCCTTTGCCCGCAAGCATTTTTGGCTTCATTTGTGTCTGATCTGCCGACCAATAAGGCGTGACCCCGAGCACATCTGCCTCTAGCTCTGCTCACGTTGATTCTCGGAAGCTCTTGACTTTGCTCATCCCCGACGACTTTATGCCAAGTAGGGTTGCTTGAGCGTCTTTTTGTGAAAGCGTTAAGCCGGGCTCGATTTCAGCCGCGTCATCGCCATACGTGCTGGTTGTCGCCAAAACGTTCCAAACTTGAGTGCTGCACGGAAGGCGTTTCTTTCTGCCTGTTCCATGGTGGTGTTGATTTCCCCCAACTCACCCCGTGAGTAATAGTCGGTTGTTTCCCGTCAATTGCGGCGTGATCTCGAGGTTCAACACCTGTGTAAGGTCTATCTAACTCAAGGTCTGGTGGCTGGATGTGTGAAGTACGCTGCACATCCAACGCGCCCTCTCCCTCCCTCCCTCCCTCCATCGCCTCTCCTGCCGTTGCTGTGGCAGACAGTTCATCGCCAGGGGATATGGCGTCATCTACCTCGGTCGCGAAGGCTGCTCCGCCCCTTTCGCTCGCCGATTCCAGGAGCTGGTGTCGAACCACGTGGACCTCAAGTTTATGGACAAGCTCGTGCTTGGCGGTAAGGCCAACGAAACGAGCAACTACTATTTTACCAGCCGGAAAAATGGACAAGTAGATCTTAATGCCATCTCGGTGGGGCCGCGCGCCCTTCCGAGAACGTCAAACAGAATCAATCTCTTGCGTGTGCTTTGTTTTAACATGGCATATATAGGGACCCCAGATGAAAACGGAATGTAGCTGTGAGTTCCTTTTACGTCAATCGCTCCGCTTTTGCGAGGGAGCGGAGCCACCAGGTCGTCCGCTCGAGATACGGCCGTGCCATAGCAACACTCAGCAGACACGAGCATTCCGGTCCTGTTTCCCAGCGATCACCCCACGCGAGCGAGGACCCAATAGGCTCCGTGATGCCCCCCCCCGGCCTCCCGGCCTCCTTTTGTGGCCATGTTTGTGCTCAACCTTGTCCACCGTCAGACACTAGGAGAGTAGAATTGGGCACGGAAGCAGCAGCTTCGATGGCAAAGGACGGCATCGTTTCGGATAGTGGCGAAACCGTCACGGACGTTGACGAGCGGTTGGTGGAGACCCTGGTGGCCTACAAGGATGCGGTCGAGAGCAACTCGCTCCTCTCCATTTCTTTCGTGTGAGTGAATTTTAGCGCTAGTGTTGCGTTCCCTCCCGCTGCCGCTGCAACTTTGCTCAAGAGACTACCTGCTTTCGTACCCGTCTCGACCAACTGCCGTGCTTGTTTCGACCCCCCCCCTCCCCCCTCTTCCCTCTGTCTCTTTCGCGACACCCGCCTCATCCCGATACGCACCGGCAGCTCGGTCGAGGAGTACCTGTGGTGCCTTCGGATGGTGTCTCGATGCATGGACAGGATGGGAAGGCACGGCATGCTCTTTCTTGCCGCGGCGGTCAGCGACTTTCACATACCCAGCCACAAGCTGCGCGAGCACAAGATCGACTCTTCGCGAGGTGTGCGAGGCGATGCTGCCTCGGGGCTAACCCTGCACTTGGACGAGGTGGGAGCGGGGGGACTCTCATATGAACGCATGCCGTAGTCGTTAGACCATTGACCTCGCATCCCTGAACAAAGCCGGGACGCAGCACGCCGGGTTCTCACCGGACCAGGCTGGCACATCACCAAGCGCGAAGCGCCGTGAGGTATCCGGCGGAGCGGAGGGAGAAGGCAATCAGGACATCTTTCATCTTGCCCCTGTTTTGTGTTTGCTTTTCCGTGTGTCAGTTGTGTGGCAAAAAGTGGTGATGTTCTCGCCCCTGCCAGATATGGTTCCGGTGGTATTTTCTTGATTTTTCTTTGCGGGAAACGTCGCTAGATATGGGGGTACAGCGTTCGGTTCCCGTCTTCAAACCACAAGAAAGGCATTGACCCGTACCGGCTCTCGCTCTCGCGTGCAACCAGCGTTTCTGTCCTCATTGTGCCTGTGTACATGTGTCCAGGTGCCCAAATGCCTCGGGATGATAGGCGAGGAGTGGGCACCCGATTGCTTCCGCGTGTCGTTCAAGCTGGAGACCGACCTGGAGCGGCTCCTACCCAAGGCACGAGTGGCGCTGAAAAGGTGACGAACGAAAGGGAATTATCCCCCCCGCGCGCCCCAGGGATCCCTTTTCATACGGTAGGCGGCGTTTTGCGGTTGTTTTCCAGCAAGTGTCGGGCGAACGTTATTCACGCTTGTTGCCCCTGTACTGGCTGTTCCGTTCGTTCCACGGAAGTGGTGCGGACTGTTGTGTGAGGGAAGCCGGAGCACCGGAACTCACTCCCTGTTCCCGCCCTTTCTCACTCCCCCTCGATTGACTCATGTAGTTCTGCGGCCCCTTGCTTCGCATTCTGTGTCCCGAATCACGGGCGTCGCGTTGTGCGAAACGCAGCTACGGGATGCACGTGGTGGTTGGAAACGAGCTCCACAGTCGGTACGACAAGGTGGAGCTGATATTCCCGGACGGGGTCGAGAGGCAGATCAACAAGGCCAGAGGCGTTGGGGTAAGTAGCTTCAATGTATGGAGGCTTCAACAGACTCAAAATATGAACATAGGCCTTGTTGTCCCGCCGGTTTCCCTTCCACGCACTGTAAAGACTAAGACTGTGGCTATATCTCCAACGGGTAGTCTTTTTATGTGTCTACGTGTAGTATTTCTAGAATGTACGGCCGGGGAGAGAGAACCATCTCGCGTGTTGTCCCTGTGTTTGAGGGGCGGTTGCTGTTGTGGTAGTGTAGGTACCACTTGTGTTTTTTTGATATGCTGTCTCGACCAAGACGCAGGGGAGGTCCTGGCGGTCCAACGAGCGAGCGTGTGTGCGTATGATACGGACGGCCTTGCTTCTTGTACACGAGCGAGAGTTGACGACCGTAAAGTACGGTAGGGGGACGATGGCGGCCTCCCTCCCGCTGGCCTTCCAACGTAGAACGCCCCCTCGGCGGAATGATGTGTGTTGGCTGCTGTAGTTTTGCTCGGGTCAAAGGAAGTAAATCGGCCATACACGGGCTAGCTGAGCCCTCCTTTCTTTCCCAGGTGACTGGCTGGCTGACCCGCTGACTTGACTGACTGACCTACTGACTGGCTGGTCGACTGACTCACTGACTGACGTGATCTGGACCCGAAGGCAGTTATATCGGTCACACATATTAAAAGCTAGCTAGCCACGTAAGTCGCTACAGCAGTAGACTATGCTAGCACCGAGCCGCTCACGGCAACAAGTAAAACTGTCAAAGACAGACAAGATTTGTAGAGCGAGACTCAAGTCTCGCGCAAAAAAAGCCAAGACATTGATAGGTTACGAAATACTGTTGCATAGCACAGCTCGGCGGTGAAACACAGCTCAGCGGTGGGTGTTATCCTACACGTGCCACTTGGATGAATCATCTATGCACGACGGCGGTGGCGGGCGGCGAAACAAAACAAAGATGAACCCTAAATTTAGGCGCGAAAAAGTGACCACGTTTCTCACGACTACATAGCAATCTTCAACGCAACCCGTCGGCCTTCGTTTTTTCTATTGAACCACCACCGACAAGCAGCACGTGATCGAAGAGGCCCTGGTGGAGGCCCTGGCTCAGGAGCACTTCAACTACATTGCGGAGGGGGGTATGGTGGGGAGGGGGGTCGGCTCATCCCCGGCTTGGCACCGGCAGCGATCGTTGCTGCACCGAAGAGAGGGGGGGGGGGGG